CCCTAACCCTAACCCTAACCCTAACCCTAACCCTAACCCTAACCCTAACCCTAACCCTAACCCTAACCCTAACCCTAAGATTTGACGCCCTAGTTGAATCCCAGGGCAAAGACGCTATTTTAAGACCCAGGAAGACCATTCAATCTGTTAAGCAACATTACCGTGAGATTAAACGTCGATTTGGGCTCACCGCAGAATACTCGACCAAGAAGTGGAGAGATGCTGCCCCCAAGGTATCTCACCATCGGAAACCTTGTGTTCCTAGGAAGCGTAAACTAAGGATGTCTCCAGATCTCAAGAAGACCGCTATCAATCTTGAGGGGATAGATTGGTCTGCTGTCCCAAAGACACCTCCACCTTACGAAGACTATTCAGATGATCCGGACGTGGGGTTCGAAGACTAAGTCTGGAATCTCTCAACAACCTCTCTAGAGTTTGAAGTTAAGATCACTACCTAGTACTTGGGTCGTTCTTTCGCACTGAGAATCACAAGAAGCAGATATTAACAGCGATGACCCACAGGGTTTTGCCAGCATGCTACAACAGCTCACTGAAGATGCAAAAGCACTTTTCCAAAATGAACAAGGATCTACGGATACATTTAATCCTGGGTGGTCTAACTAACCACCAAGATCTCAACGAGTTTAAAGTTCCTGATTTTTAGATTTTCCGACCAGCTTCAAAGAACAGGTAAGCCTTGATATTTCTTTCACACCTGCAAGAACCAATGGTTCATATTTTATAATACACAAACATCTTTTCCAAAAAATACTCATACATCGCGTCTCTTTGTGATCACCTCAAATCATTCTAATTACCCCCTATCACCATTACAAGCCTAAAATAATGCAAGTATTTAGTGCTAATTTCTCCTTTTCCTCACAAGTAAGCGCTTGATCTTCTTGCACGTTATGACGTTGCGCATGCGGGCCCCTTGAATACGCTCATGGATGTCAACTTTTACATCTAAAAAGAAGGCCTAAAGAAGCTTTGTTCCAACAGAATCCAAGCTCTTTTGTAGCTTTTTATTGTAATCAAACTGTGCCACAACATTCTTTGACACGCATTACAGCCCCCCAAGGAACGCTCAACGATAGACCTTTCTTTACATTTCTAATCACTGCTCAAAGAAATGATGATTGTGAGAAACGACTCATAAAGTCTCAATTCGTGAATTGGTGATCCAAAAAACGATTTCATCAATTAACAATTGCTATGAACCAGATCTTTTGAAGCCAAGGGATGCGGCTAACATTTTGTTGTAATAAATTATCACTCCGTGTTCTGTTATAGCTGGGTAAGTTCTGAATTGTTTTAGTTGGCTGAATGTGCTTTGTGTTTTAGAATCCAGGCGCACATTTCTTGAAACTTATTATGATAGTCTTGATCTTGATGATCAGCAATCGATGTATCATACATGTATAACCTCTTAGGCTCCGCTTTCGTGATTCTGAAACATATCGAATACTGTCCTTCCTTGAAATGTCTTCCAAATCTATTCCCCCTCTGGTCGTCTGAAATCGTTTAGGTTGCAATTCAAATATACAAAGCACCGAAGTCATCTTCAAGTCTAGCAATTGTATCGAACGGAGGCTCGGAGGTCTCATAGAACACTTTGTTTCCATCGCAAAATCTTATAGATAAAGTTGTCCAAGTGACGCCTGCCAACGTAGGATCCAGAACCACGCATTTTTACCACCATGTTATTCACTCAGAAACCGCATCTTCCATTCCTTTTGCCTACTATGCTCGTCAAATATTCAGGCTCTGCATCGATTCCTGGATCCACTCAATCCATTGTAACCTATGAAGGGGCTCGAATGAACGAGCATCGAAGCCCACAAAGACCTTCGCTTATTTCGGAAAGCCAACTGTCCACCATGCCTGCATCATCTGCATTTCACGGTTCGCCAGCAGTTACCACGTCAAGTTCGTACTCAGCTCCTACGACGAGTGAAATTTCTATTTCGGAATCCTTTGCTCGTCCGACATCTGAATTTTCTCTGACGAGTGCTTCATCAGAGTGTGAGTTTCCCAGACTTACTGAAACAGCGACTTTTACATCGCCCATAAATGTCACGGTAATATCGATATCAACTAGTATAATTACCAGTGTGACCCCTTCTCTAACTACCGAAACTGTTACCCCGACGAGCACAACGACCAGTACTGCGAGTCCTTCGAAGCATTCACAATGCTGTCCCACAAATAAAAATATAGCAGAATGGGTTCTACTTGCAATAATCCTTCTTTTCCTTCTACTCAACACTGGCGGCCTCGGCTTCAATTACCAAGTGACTAGACACATTCATCGAGAATTGCACCACTCGCATGAACTTCCAACTATTCCGCCCCCAATTCCAAGGAATTCTCAATGCGTAACCAAACGTGATTTGGAAAAGGCAATAGAGGGACTTTGGAACAAAATTCTTGCGCATAAACCGATTGGTAGGTCTGAATTAAACAGGCAAGAAAGATCATATTGCTTACTCAACTAAAGCAGTTAACATACCACCAAACGATGCCGCTGAGCTTCCAACCAACAACTATACAAATAGTTACCAAAATAGTCCAGGGCAAAACTCACCTTCAACGATCTCACAGCCATATAGGTCCGCTGTCCAGACCCAATCACGTCCAGACACACAGTATCCAAATACTCCCTCCCCAACAATATACTAGACGGGCTCAATTTCAACTTCTCTTATACTACAGCCTGGGATCCGATGAGGCACATACAGCATGCCTCACTTTGTGAGCAGCCAAACACTTGAGATAGACGAGGATGTGGTTTCTGCATGAAACAGGGCAAACCCTCAGAGACTGACTTCCATTGTTTCCCCCCCTAGCCATAGTTGAGATGGGAAGAACTTCGACGTTAGGTTGATAGTCAATACAGCAACTTCAAGTCAGAAAGTTACGACGATACGGGTTTAGCTTCGGTGAAAAAGAACACAAAGTGGAAACATGGAGTTTTGGCGTTGAGTGGATTTGTTAACGTAAACAATGTACTTTATTCTGTTCTTTCAGAGATTTTTGCGTTCCTACTACGCACGGATATATCAAAGTGGAAACCAAACCAAACCAAACCATTCAAGCTTAATTCGCAACTGACTGACTGTACTTGCACTTCTCCTGTAACAAGAATTATGAAAGCTTCTGCTATTTCCTGGACGTCATACAGTACAATGAAACCATACACTGAAAATAATCATCCAAAAAGGAGCTTTTGTTTGACTGAGCTCGGAATGTTGGGTTGCATTAAAATGTCGTGCGATTCTGGATGTGCATGTCATTGTGTCCCTGGCGCATTAGTAGAATCTTGTTCTCTTCGAAGCAAGATACTCTCTATAATACCTGCGTGAAACCTGAATCTTGCTCAATTGGGGGAAAGTGTGAATAAGCTTTACAGCGCAGGTTCAGGAGATTCGTTTGCGGCAGAGGCGAAAGACACCATAAGTACTGGAAACATTTCCCGGAAATAAAAAGATTCTTAATCCTAAAACCTAGGAAAATGAAATACAGAACACCCAAAACCAAAAGACTTTTCCACTGCCAAACTAAATTGAACACTTGAGAGCAGTGGAAGGGTGGAAAGGAGTGTGAGGATTCCACTTTCCTCCTTGATTACCGTCAGTCATAAATAGAGAAATCGAAACCGATCATCAATCATCAATCATGCATCAACCCACGCCAATTCCACCTCCTAATTCCTAGCACTACTAGTAGTAGCATTCCCACCCCCAACACCCCCGTGAGGCCTCTGTCCAAATCCCCATCCAATCTGATTAGCAACACGAACATCAACACCCAACTCACCAGCCCACTCCCAAACCAGCGCCGGATTCTTCAGAAACTGTCTCGCAACCAAAACCGCATCCGCACTGCCCTCCTGCAAGTACCCTTCCGCCTGTTTGGCACTCATGATCATACCCACAGTACCAACCTTTGTCTTATCATTCTTGCCAGCTTCAATAAGAGCTTTCTTGATAGCGGCAGCGAAGGGGACTTGGTAGCCCGGTCCGGAAATGACTTTTTGCTCGTGCATCAGAGCTGCGGAAGACACGTCTAGGAAGTCGACTCCGGCGTCTGAGAGGGCGAGGGAGAGGGCGGTTGCTTGGTTGATTTCCCAGTTGTCGGTGTCTGGTGGCATCCAGTCTGAACCCGGGATTCTGACAAAGAGAGGCATGTTTTCTGGGATTGCTTGGCGGACGAGAGCACAGAGCTCGAGGAGGAGACGGATGCGATTTTCGAAGGAGCCGGAGTAGGGAGCTGGGAGTTTGTTTGTTACTGCTGAGAGGGTGGAGTGAAGGAGGTAGCCGTGAGCAGCGTGAATCTCGATAACCTTGAAGATGAGTGTTAGGGAGTGAAATTGCAGAAATCTGGGATGGAGTACTTGCATCGAATCCAGCTTTCAAAGCTCTATGAACAGAATCCGTGAATGACTTCTTGAAACTTTCAATGTCTTCCAAAGTCATTGCCTTTGGCATAGGTGTATTTGGATAATCAAAAGCGTCATCACTAGCACTGATAACTCTATCTGGCCAGCCACCGGCCTAATTGAGTATTAGTTAGCAATTCCAGAAGGAAAAGAATAGACTCACCTCGGCTGTAGCAACGGCCTTTCTATTGATCCAGGGTGTAACCGTACTTGCTTTCCTACCCGCATGGGCCAATTGAATACCAACATGTTGACCCTGACTATGAGCAAACTCAACAAGCTTCTTGAGAGGCTCAATCTGACTATCCTTCCACAGTCCAGCATCTTCTGGTGTGATTCTACCCTCAGGTGTAACCGCAGTTGCCTCAACAATGGTCAAACCGGGTCCACGAGAGATGATACCACCCAGATGTGCATGGTGCCAAAATGTTTGGTGGCCGTCATCGGAAGAATACTGGCACATGGGAGAAACCAGAATACGATTTTGCAGCTTCAATCCTCGCAATTGGAGAGGCTCGAAGAGTTTTGGAATCGGATCGGTGCTACCTGGCTTTGGGATAATCGTGCCGGATGGAATTGCTTGCTCAGGTGTATAGTAAGAAGTCTGGAAGCATCAGCATGTACTAGCAAACGGAATTTGAGAGTGGTGGCTCACATTTGGGGCAGCAGTGTTATGAAGTCCATTCATACAATGTGCTTCTTGGGCGATTTGGTGAGCCATCTTGAATTGTAGAGCTTGTAATAGAGTAGGCTGGTCCTGAGAGCGTAGATATTTTGTAGATGTTTTTACCAACAAGGTTACGTGGATACGGAACAAATTTATAGCCAGATTTAAGTGAAGACGACGCGATGTATTGGCAACACTTTCTTTGTTGGCTGGAATATCTGCAACTATGATTCGATGAAGTCATACCAAGAAGTTTTGCCGACGGGTGAACACAGTGTGGAATTTCCAGACAAATCAGATGGTGAATGGGAAAAACCATTCCAATTCTGGTAGTGCAAATATTTATATTCGCTGCGAGTTGATTACATGATTGTCCATCAGCCAATGATTCTGCATGAGCGGTATCCCTTATAGTAGTCGGTGCATGTCTCCGATGCACGATAAAGCGGCAACGAATATGAAACTCTTGCTGTGCTAACTTACTCCAAAGTTTGCATTACATGCTCCCAAATATATGAAGTACAGCATGAAAGCTGGACCTGAGGATAAATCCAGTAATGTGAATCGTGCTAGCATGGTAAAAACAAGGGAAGGATTCATCCGCCCTCGGTTTCTGTATTCATCGCGAGGAACCGCAACCAATAGAAAGAGGGGGCCGCCGAATCGGCGAACTTCCAGCGACTAAAGCTCATGTTTGCTCACTCCTCGCTCTCTTCTCGTTCTCCTCGCCGACGCGGTATTAAAGCTCATTGATTGTGCTATTGGTGAAATGAGCACATGTCATTGATTTGAAATCGATGATTATCAAGAATGCTTAGAAGTGGTTCAACATCTGACTGGTGAAGAGAAAGTATATAACTGAGGGGGAGCCCGGAAGAGAAACTTCTTGCACCATAGCAGAGCGACAGTATCAAAAGATCAAGCACTCATAACATTTCGACACAAAGATTTGAAAAGGAGAAGGACCAAAACCCACCAAAATGTCCACATCGACCAATGTTTTCATACTCGGCATCACGGGATATGTCGGCGGTAATGTTGCGGCTCGAATGATTGAAAAGCACCCTGATTGGGATGTAGTGGTAATGTGACACCCAGTCTGCGTTACCGATATCGACTAACATAAGACAGGCGCCGGTAAGAACATCAGCCCAGAGAGATGTCATACTTTCCAAATGGCCAAAGATTAGAGCGGTGATTGGAGATTTGGATGACAGAGACCTGCTCATGTAAGAATCTTCCAAGGCAGATGTTATTCTGCGTACAAAACACTCGTCCGATTTCTAGAGAAGGATCTAACAAAAAAATAGAACTTGCCTCTTCCGATCACGTTAAAGGAGCCCGGGCTGTGGTTGAAGGCGCAAGTCTTAAAAAGCCAGAGCCAGGAAATGTTATCCATATCAGTGGTATAGGAATGCTTCATGGAGTTCCAAACGGATTTGGCAAAACGATTTCTCATGGGTGGTATTTGGAATGCTGACGTGGGTAGGCCAACCTTCCGACAAGGTTTATCATGACATAGTGGATTTAGCAGAAGTAACTTCTTTACCGGAAGAAGGCCACATTCATCGTGGCGCGGATAAAGCTGTTCTTGAAGCACATAAACAGTTCTCTGTGCCCACAGCAATTATTTGACCGCCATTAATCCACGGCATTAGCAAAGGTCCCATCAAGGTCAATAGTATCCAGATTCCAATGTTTACGGCTGCGATCGTCAAGCGGGAAAGAGGGTTCCAAGTTGAGAAGGGAGAAAACTTTTGGGGTGGTAAGCATGCCCAAACATACTTCAAGAAAAAAGGAACCTGGCAAGCTATAGCCATTCATGTTGACGATGTGTCGGACGCAATCATTCTGCTGGCTGAGGAGGGATTGAAAGCACAAGGTGGAAAGGCCCAATGGGGAGATGAGGGATATTACTTTGCTGAAGCAGAAGAATTCGTAATTCAAACTCTTCCGGAAAAGCCAAGAACATACAGCTAATTCCACTGCAGCAATGGGGTAGCATTGCTGTCGCGGTCACCAAGGCCCTGTACAAAGAAGGAGCTCTCAAGAGTGGGGATGTCGACTCGATCTCGATAGAGGATGCCACTCAGCAGCATCATTATGCTTCGATCCTTTGGAGGGGCAACTGCAGAAGTCGGGCTGACCGTCTCCATGCTCTTGGATGGGAGGCGAAGGCACCCAATGTCTTGCAAAGCGTACCTGAGATGATTGCTGAAAGCCTTAAGAGCATGTAAGGCAACTCTACTGAGATCCAACGAAATATAGAGGGATCGGAAAAGACGGACTGCTGATAGATGTGCCCTGAATAGAAAAGTATAGTAGAGTGAGATTTTATGGTGGTTCCCAAGTTTGTTTTGCGTGAGAGCTGCTTCCAACTGTTGGAGACAAGCACCGTTCTTTCTGCCTTGAACCTGCTTATTATGTTCACGTAGTGTACTGTAAGCGGTCCCACCATCGGTTTCCTACAGTATCGGTACTGTAACCTTCAATCCTCCTCATTCCACTAATCATGCGAACTATCGTCGTTTTTGTATGCTGATCGTCAGCAATATGCCTGGATGGTTGTGGGTATCGCGACTAATCGTAGTGGAGGAAATCAATACCAGCGTCTTTTTTCCCATCACTTGATTTCAAGCAATTCTCGATATCCCCGCGATGCCATCACATCACAATTTGTCATGAACCCTAACCCTAACCCTAAGCAGTGGGGCGTTGGAGGGAGCGGGAGCGGGAGCCCATGGAATTACTTCGTGCCGAAAACGCGAGATCAAAGGCGACCGGTCGTGGCCGTGTTAGGAATGTAAGATTACGCGCTCAAGGCATCTCTGCGCATACGAGTGCGACATCACCGTCGGGGGCTGATTTACGGGATCGATTGGTGAAATTGGAGGTGATGATGGCTGCAATCATGACTGCAGGGGGTGGGGGTGGGAACCCTGAAAGCTTCGACCAACGGGCAGAACACGCGCAGCCCCAACGTCCCAGTGTCTCTCCATGAACCACGACCTCCACTTCGCTATCACTTGAACAGAATATCTCTTCTAGTTTTTTAGCTTCGTCACTACAGGCACATATTGTTGAAAGAAGGTCATAGTTCTTACCATGATTCGCACTTTTGGCCAAGCTCGAGTCCCGAGGTAAGTCGAGAGGATTTTACCTTTTGCTTCAATAGAGCCCCTTTTGAAGTAGACTACTTTGATCTCTGTTCGCTGAAAAAGTGGTTAGTACCAGACCGTCTTGTTGATTTCAACTTTAAAGTTAAACTTTTGTTAGTACAAGTATTCGCAGAAATAGAGGCTTTAGCAAAGTTCCTATCCCTGGGCTCCAGTAATGGCTCCGTGCCCGAAATCAACACGTCAAACAAGTTCACTCAAAACAGTCTTGCGGTATTTAAACATTTGTGATATTTAAAAATTGACTATAAGCTTAACCCTAAGTACACGTACAGCCTTGTTCGTCGTTCCAAGGAGTTAAATCTCAAGAAGCATTCTTTTTATACATTGTGGTTCGTGACTATAGTTTAGCTGAAAGACCACGGTAGTAAAAGATTATAGGTATAAGAGTAACTCTATATTCTTACTCGACTATCCCCTTATTCTTTTGTTTCCTTTATAATAACTAGAATATAGTAGGAAGCGTACTTAGTAATGGAAAATAAAGAAAGGAAGTAAAAAAGAGAAAAAAAAAGGGTAAGAAGAAAAGAATTTAAAGCTTTTATATTAAATAAATTAAGTTTTTAACTCGGTAAATAAATGTAGTATAGTATATATAGTATTTATTAAGAATTAATTTATTTAAAATTTCTAGAAGGATATTTAGAATGGTTATTTTAATAAAAATATTTTAGTTAACTATAAACTACCTTTTACTATTAAATAAATACTATAGGTATTAGCTAACTAAGTCCCTTAATACCAAGAACTCTCGAAATAGCTACTAAAAAGGTAAACTATCTAAATTTAATAAAGAGGGAGTAAACCTAGAAATTATAGAAAAATAATAAGAACGTTTAGGAAGAAAACTTATATTTAAGGCTATCTAGATAGCGACTAGGAAAGGTGAGAGAGTAAGAATATTATATATACTCTCTTTATAATCTAATTATTATCCTAAGTTCTAGTATAGTAAGTATATTTTAATAGTATCCTTGATTTATTCTTTGTAAATTATATAATCGATCTATTATTTTATATCTCGTAATTTTATTTATTCTATAAAACGAGTATTTCTTTTTCTTTTAATTCTTATTAGTAATCTAGAAACGATATTAGTACGTAGGGTTTAATCGTTGTATAATACCAGATAGTAATAACCGTACCAGGCTTATATAGATTATAATTAGTTTCTTAGTTTCTTTCTTAGATCTACTTCATATATTAGTACAAGAGTCTTAGTAAAAAATTCAAGACTTAGGCCGAGGGCTTCTTTACGGCCGGTGGGAAATATTCTTGGAGGGGAGGGAGAGAATAAAACACTCCATGTATGAAGTTTTATGTGTGTTTGGTATTAGAGTTACGGTGACAACTACAAACAAGCCAAATTCATCCACTTCGCACCATACAAGAAGTTGGGAAGCACAGACCCACAAGTGCTCCGTTACAGATTAAGCTTCCCGCCGTCATCTGTCAATCTGGCAATCTGTTTCATCTCAAGTTTAAACCGAGTACGGAGTGCTGAACCAGAACTTTTGATGCTCCACCTAGCTTCTGAACATCCATGGAGGAAAGAATAAGTCATAGACGCAACTCTGTTTGTTTTAAATTCAAGTACATTCACAAATATAACCCCCAATAATGTTAATGAATGATGAAAATATTTTGAATTATCAAGATTAAAAGAGGCGAGGCCTTTCACAGCTCACACCACCCCTTACAAATCCCAGAAAGGAACATCATATATATTAGAAACCAATGTGACCCTACACATTCCTATCCCCCAAGATAAAATCAACCCCAAGAAACGAATTATTTCCGCCGTTTTATGATGCGAATGGCGATACCGACTCTTTATCCCCCAATAATTTACTCCTCCTTCTTTGTCTCCTTTGCAGCTTTCTTTGCCTCCTTGTCAGCTTTCTTGGTCTCCTTGTCGGCCTTCTTGGAGTCCTTAGCACCATCCTCCTTGGGCTTAGCACCTTCCGCAGCACCATCCTCCTTGGGCTTAGCACCTTCCGCAGCACCATCCTCCTTGGGCTTAGCACCTTCCGCAGCACCATCCACAGGCTTCTTGTCCTTAGTCGTCTTCCTGGCCTCATTCGTAGCAGTGGCGAACTCAAGTTTAGTGCATGGCTTGCCAGCATTTGCCTTATCCGTGGCGATGTTGTTGGCAAGCTTCTTTGTTTCCACAGCCATCTTTTCGGAGACATCTTCTCCTTGAGCTTGGAGAGCTTGCAACGACAGCATGGTTGCTGTGAGTTTCAGGACCTTGTTTTTGGTTTTACCGCACTAAGGTTCATATTAGCGAATGTTATATAAATGGAGCAGATTACTAATTACCGCGACAGCTTCCTTCTCGGGCCCAGTTGCTGCTTCGATGGCTGGGTTGAATGCTAGAATCTCAGCGTCGTTGCACATACCGTTAACGGCTTGCAGGAACGTAATATCCTCTTTTGAGACCGCAGCAAAATCTGTTCCCACAGGCAACTTGGCGAGTGCCTCAGCTTCGGCGTCTCCGCCGACACCACCACTGATGGAGATTTCGTTATATGTCGCAACCGGGCCCAGAGCTCTGGCGAGGAGGGTTCTAGCGACAAAACTGCTAGTAGGTCGAACGACAGATGGAGCAGCAACAGAGAGGGAGGCAAATGCCAAGACTAGAGCAGATGAGAATTGCATGATGGTTGTAGGGTTTGTATTGAAAACAGATTGAAAGAGTGGCGTGAAATAAGTTTACTAATGAACAGCGCGGCTGTGTGGTTGGGAATTGAAAAAATCGAAATTGAACAGCACAGCTGTGTTTGGGAGAAGGTAATGTGAGGATTGAAGGAAAGTGATTGGAATGAAGGAAAGAAAACCTACTCGACGAACAGTGACATGTTCTTATAGAATACTCGTTCAGATGATGTGACGGGCCAAGAGGATGCCAAGTGGGTTACAACCTCTTAGCTCTGACTTTGGAAAACTCTTCCCGGTCGTTACTCCCTTCTACCCCACTGGTTTAAAAGGTTATTTCTCTGTAAATTTACGGTACAAGTGGACGGAGTATAGGGGAGCGTTATTCCTTTCTTCTGAGAGGCTTAGGATTCCGCTCTTCGCTTTCTTCCCTAACGACTCTTGAACGTAGATATCCAAACTTTGTACCAAATAGCAAAATGACGTTGGTATGGTCGCCACTTCGCTCAGCAGATTGCAAAGCGTTTTGTTAGGTGAGTGAGGAGGGCTTGTAAAACGTCTCAATTCCCACGTGGAAGTTGGGATTACGAGACTAGAATGGAAACTGCCAACTGTTTTGATACCGTAGGTGATCCTGGCCAATTGTATCCTTGAAATTCAAAGGTGGGTCCCGAAAATAACGGGTGAACATGCTGAAAAAGGTGCAAGCGTAAGCGGCCGTCTGAAACTATGTTGTTATACCCCTGAGCGAACCACCGCAATTGGCCTATTCCCAATGTTCATGAACCCCGAAAAAGGGGAGACCAAGAAGAAATTCCTGGGATTGGTACCCGGTAGGCCGCGCCAAAACTGCACGTTCTCCTCCACACTCAGCCAATAATCAGTGGAGGTAATGGGAGACAGAGCCATAGAACAGTCCTAGCATCTCGGTAACTAGCCGCCATCTGATTTACCGCCGGAACAATCTGGCGCGGCGGGTTTATAGTGAGAAGCTTATTAACAATAAGACCCTCGGACTCTTGCTCCTGAGTTTTGACGGTATCTTGGCGTCTAGAAGGAGAAGTACAAGTTAGGAATACGGAGGGAGATTTTCTCGAAACATGCGCTCAGAATCCAGACTTGTCGGACATTCGTATTTGAAATCTTTTCGTAGAAATGCGAGGTGTTACAGTATTTTCAACAGCTTGTCCCAACTCAAAACGCAAATTCGAGGCCCAGTCCGTAAGATCACCCTCTTAACTACTCTCAAGAACAGAGTCATGGTGCTACAGTTTCCAAAACGGGCAAACAGAACCTGCACAGGTAGTGAAACGTAAAATCACTCTTCCCGGTCGTTACTCCCTTCTACCCCACTGGTTTAAAAGGTTATTTCTCTGTAAATTTACGGTACAAGTGGACGGAGTATAGGGGAGCGTTATTCCTTTCTTCTGAGAGGCTTAGGATTCCGCTCTTCGCTTTCTTCCCTAACGACTCTTGAACGTAGATATCCAAACTTTGTACCAAATAGCAAAATGACGTTGGTATGGTCGCCACTTCGCTCAGCAGATTGCAAAGCGTTTTGTTAGGTGAGTGAGGAGGGCTTGTAAAACGTCTCAATTCCCACGTGGAAGTTGGGATTACGAGACTAGAATGGAAACTGCCAACTGTTTTGATACCGTAGGTGATCCTGGCCAATTGTATCCTTGAAATTCAAAGGTGGGTCCCGAAAATAACGGGTGAACATGCTGAAAAAGGTGCAAGCGTAAGCGGCCGTCTGAAACTATGTTGTTATACCCCTGAGCGAACCACCGCAATTGGCCTATTCCCAATGTTCATGAACCCCGAAAAAGGGGAGACCAAGAAGAAATTCCTGGGATTGGTACCCGGTAGGCCGCGCCAAAACTGCACGTTCTCCTCCACACTCAGCCAATAATCAGTGGAGGTAATGGGAGACAGAGCCATAGAACAGTCCTAGCATCTCGGTAACTAGCCGCCATCTGATTTACCGCCGGAACAATCTGGCGCGGCGGGTTTATAGTGAGAAGCTTATTAACAATAAGACCCTCGGACTCTTGCTCCTGAGTTTTGACGGTATCTTGGCGTCTAGAAGGAGAAGTACAAGTTAGGAATACGGAGGGAGATTTTCTCGAAACATGCGCTCAGAATCCAGACTTGTCGGACATTCGTATTTGAAATCTTTTCGTAGAAATGCGAGGTGTTACAGTATTTTCAACAGCTTGTCCCAACTCAAAACGCAAATTCGAGGCCCAGTCCGTAAGATCACCCTCTTAACTACTCTCAAGAACAGAGTCATGGTGCTACAGTTTCCAAAACGGGCAAACAGAACCTGCACAGGTAGTGAAACGTAAAATCAAACCTTTAGTCAGACTTTCGTATTGTAATAGACCGTAGTGGACTCACCAAGTGTGTTACAACCTCTTAGCTCTATGACTTTGGAAAGCTCTTCCCGGTCGTTACTCCCTTCTACCCCACTGGTTTAAAAGGTTATTTCTCTGTAAATTTACGGTACAAGTGGACGGAGTATAGGGGAGCGTTATTCCTTTCTTCTGAGAGGCTTAGGATTCCGCTCTTCGCTTTCTTCCCTAACGACTCTTGAACGTAGATATCCAAACTTTGTACCAAATAGCAAAATGACGTTGGTATGGTCGCCACTTCGCTCAGCAGATTGCAAAGCGTTTTGTTAGGTGAGTGAGGAGGGCTTGTAAAACGTCTCAATTCCCACGTGGAAGTTGGGATTACGAGACTAGAATGGAAACTGCCAACTGTTTTGATACCGTAGGTGATCCTGGCCAATTGTATCCTTGAAATTCAAAGGTGGGTCCCGAAAATAACGGGTGAACATGCTGAAAAAGGTGCAAGCGTAAGCGGCCGTCTGAAACTATGTTGTTATACCCCTGAGCGAACCACCGCAATTGGCCTATTCCCAATGTTCATGAACCCCGAAAAAGGGGAGACCAAGAAGAAATTCCTGGGATTGGTACCCGGTAGGCCGCGCCAAAACTGCACGTTCTCCTCCACACTCAGCCAATAATCAGTGGAGGTAATGGGAGACAGAGCCATAGAACAGTCCTAGCATCTCGGTAACTAGCCGCCATCTGATTTACCGCCGGAACAATCTGGCGCGGCGGGTTTATAGTGAGAAGCTTATTAACAATAAGACCCTCGGACTCTTGCTCCTGAGTTTTGACGGTATCTTGGCGTCTAGAAGGAGAAGTACAAGTTAGGAATACGGAGGGAGATTTTCTCGAAACATGCGCTCAGAATCCAGACTTGTCGGACATTCGTATTTGAAATCTTTTCGTAGAAATGCGAGGTGTTACAGTATTTTCAACAGCTTGTCCCAACTCAAAACGCAAATTCGAGGCCCAGTCCGTAAGATCACCCTCTTAACTACTCTCAAGAACAGAGTCATGGTGCTACAGTTTCCAAAACGGGCAAACAGAACCTGCACAGGTAGTGAAACGTAAAATCACTCTTCCCGGTCGTTACTCCCTTCTACCCCACTGGTTTAAAAGGTTATTTCTCTGTAAATTTACGGTACAAGTGGACGGAGTATAGGGGAGCGTTATTCCTTTCTTCTGAGAGGCTTAGGATTCCGCTCTTCGCTTTCTTCCCTAACGACTCTTGAACGTAGATATCCAAACTTTGTACCAAATAGCAAAATGACGTTGGTATGGTCGCCACTTCGCTCAGCAGATTGCAAAGCGTTTTGTTAGGTGAGTGAGGAGGGCTTGTAAAACGTCTCAATTCCCACGTGGAAGTTGGGATTACGAGACTAGAATGGAAACTGCCAACTGTTTTGATACCGTAGGTGATCCTGGCCAATTGTATCCTTGAAATTCAAAGGTGGGTCCCGAAAATAACGGGTGAACATGCTGAAAAAGGTGCAAGCGTAAGCGGCCGTCTGAAACTATGTTGTTATACCCCTGAGCGAACCACCGCAATTGGCCTATTCCCAATGTTCATGAACCCCGAAAAAGGGGAGACCAAGAAGAAATTCCTGGGATTGGTACCCGGTAGGCCGCGCCAAAACTGCACGTTCTCCTCCACACTCAGCCAATAATCAGTGGAGGTAATGGGAGACAGAGCCATAGAACAGTCCTAGCATCTCGGTAACTAGCCGCCATCTGATTTACCGCCGGAACAATCTGGCGCGGCGGGTTTATAGTGAGAAGCTTATTAACAATAAGACCCTCGGACTCTTGCTCCTGAGTTTTGACGGTATCTTGGCGTCTAGAAGGAGAAGTACAAGTTAGGAATACGGAGGGAGATTTTCTCGAAACATGCGCTCAGAATCCAGACTTGTCGGACATTCGTATTTGAAATCTTTTCGTAGAAATGCGAGGTGTTACAGTATTTTCAACAGCTTGTCCCAACTCAAAACGCAAATTCGAGGCCCAGTCCGTAAGATCACCCTCTTAACTACTCTCAAGAACAGAGTCATGGTGCTACAGTTTCCAAAACGGGCAAACAGAACCTGCACAGGTAGTGAAACGTAAAATCCAAACCTTTTAGTCAGACTTTCGTATTGTAATAGACAGTAGTGGACTCACCTACCTTTTAATTTTACTTGGACTCGTACCTCGAACGTTGTAGCCAGCTCTGGTCCCCAACTTACGATGTTTGCAGGTGTGTTCTACCTGTACTATTTGTTAAGCGCTCTCATGAAGTACGAGTATGTCGATCTTATCCAATGATGGAACCTGTGGTTATTAGAATAGTTCTTTATTAACCTTAGTATAACAGTCGTCCTCTGATCTTTCGAGTTATTAAATTCAAATGTTTTGGATTCCAGAGAAATATAGCGTATTGATAGAATGATCCAATATTGTAACTATAACCCATCCATTCTATTTGTACTTCAATCTTGCACCCAAGGTTATAATAGACGAGGGTTTCCCTCTCCACCACGCTTGGGTATCCTCGTAGTGATAGAGAATCCACAGATACCACGAACAGCAGAGCACACCAGGCCTGTAACCACATCCACCCTTTCTCTCTCTCTCTCTCTAGCATCGCACCCGCTAATGGGCCCCCGATCACCGATTCAGCCCCAGAGATAACTAGCATCATTCCAAGGCGCACACCATTAATTTGCAAGTTTGGTACAAGAGTGGCAACTATGGTTGGTGGCAGCGATACAAACAGGCCCTGGAGAAACCCATAGAACATGCAAAACTTAACGAGCCCTACAGAATCATGAATTTCAATCCAATCGAATGTGAGAACGGCTATGTCGCCCATCAGCGGAACGAGAACATTGAGTGGGCCTAGCTTGTCCGCAACTAAATTTGGAAGAAGGCGCCCAGCTATCGAAGAGGCCTTGATAATACATAACAGACATGAAGCAATTTGCGGATAAGTGCTCGGTCTCTGGTGCGTAAATATGAATTAGAACAAGGTGATGTAGATGGACATAGAACCAAAGAACCGCCCGATGCAGAAGGCAAGATACAATATGTCTGTAAATGCACTCTTGTTATACCATGGACGTTTGGCGGAAGAAGGTGGTAGTTGGACATCCAAAAGCAAAAATGGAAAGACTATTAATAGTCAGTGCGGCTTCCTACTACGCTATCGCTTGTAGTCAGCGGAAGCAAGTGTATTGTCTAACTAAACCATCTTCTACTAGAGTTAATCTTTGAGCTATAAGCTTCTATATAGGCTCAAAAGAAAGCCCTTCGTTAACCCTATAACATAGTATCCTACAAGGTAAATACAGCTGTAGCGTAGGAGGTACTATAGATAATAGAAGAGAGAGTACCTAGAAGGTGTAAAGTACGTATTTTGTTAGGTCGCACGTACCGCACCCTATGGAACGAATACTCAAACTGGCTAACTAAACTTGGCTGGGTGTTCGCTGGTTGGTATGCTATGATAAGAAGAAGACTATCGGGTTGTTCACTTGGAAGTGAACTCGTTACTTGTATCAAAGATGTCAAACTTATATGATAAGATTGATAACTAAGTTGAGCACGAAGCTCCTATCTAATGGCAGACGTGCCAGTCTTATATAGAACCTTTGTTCTCTCGATGTTCGCTCGTTCGACAATCGAACTGGCTAACTTCGCCTGTTCGCCCGGCTAACTGGCGAATTCCTAATATCACGTGATAACAATACAGAGAAATCCCTGGATCGCTTAGCTACTCCAAACGATCCCTATTTGCTATAAGAAACCTTGATGTGCCTGTCGAGGGTTGCGCCTCTTATTATGACAAGTATCACGTGAACACGTGATTCGTGACACCTATCTCTAAATATATATACACGACCTTAAGGGAATGGTATACATTTATTACTAAGATCTAATATTAGAACTAAAATCTTAAATTATTATAAATTATAGGAAAATAAATTATTTATAAAGTATCTAAAATTAGATTTAATAACCCTAAGCCCGAGTTCCCCGGGGCTCTAGGCTCTAGCTATATATACTAAGAATAAAATAAATAAATAGTTCGTTCGTCTATATAAACTTAAGCTAAGTAAAGACTAAAGATCGGGAGTAAAGACTAAAGATTAAAGAAAAAAAAACATAACTAATATTCTATAATACTAAATTACCTATCTCGAAGGATATTTATAAACTACTCCTTACTTATTCCTTATTCCTTATCCCTTATTTCTATTATATAAATACCCTCTAATTCTCTACCTAGGTATTCTATACTCTATCCTTTTTATACTCTTACTCATACTATCCCTACTATCTACTCTATCAACAATCCCTCTATATCAACTTCCCAAATTCGGACTTACATTTAATAACCCTTCCATATAACAAAGGGGCCATAAAAACGCGCACCCAAAATGGAGACAAGTGGATAGGATAACTAGGTCAAATTAAGGCTCAAATGCTTAGAAACGCGGCCTGGTTGGCGAAACGACTTGGTGTTATAGAGAAAATGTCGTCAAAGTGGACAGACACTTTTACTCCACTTAGAAGTGCACGTTTTTTCGGCCCCTTTGTCGTATGGAAGGGATAACCACCTGTATAACTCCTCAAGTACCTATTCCTGTTCCTATCCTCGAGTACTTAAATCTTATACTTACTTACCTCACCTTACCTTAACTTAACTCTGAATACCTAGTACTTATACAACACTTAAGTTATCAAGTACCTAGTTTATTCCCATGCTAATTCCATCCATCCATCCACCAACCAAACTATAAAACCACAAAACACCTCATCCGATCAAATCAACTTCACATAAAAGCTCACTCAGAATGACTTACAATACATATCATACAATACAATACAATATAACACAATATATATTGAAAGTCAATTTCTCCTATCTACATACATACACTACACTACACAAAAAAAATAAGGAAGCGGACCGCCCCAAAAAAGCGGACCGCACAAAAAGAAAGAAGGAAAAAGAAAACACCTCAACACCACCCATGCCCCGACAAAACACCTCATCCGATTAAAACAACCTCATATATAAAGGCTCACTCAGGATAACTTACAGTACATACAATACAATACAGTACAATACAACACAATACATATTAAAATCCACTTCCTCAATCTACGTAAACTACACTACACAAAAAATAAGGAAGCGGACCGCCCAAAAAAAGCGAACCGCAAAAAAAGAAAAAAGGGAAAGAAAACACCTCAACACCACCCATGCCCCCACGCCATTCCCTAATTCTCACCAGAAGAATCAGAAAAAAAGAAAGAACAACGATGAATTAATTACAAGGTGATATCAAAAGAAGCAAGCAGGTCGACGGTCACCACAGACAGACAGACAGCTCCATCCACTCCATCCACTCCAACCATCCATACAGCACGACCCAACCCAATCCAAACCAAACCCACCCAATCCAAATCCATCCATCCATCCATCCATCCAGCAATCCCAATCAGAATATCCAGCCACAGAAAAGCACCCATTCGCATGCACACGCCGTATGCTCAAGAAGACATACAAACCATACCCTAAAGAAGACAACCCACACCCAAATCAGAACCAGAATCAAAATCCCATCGCATCCATCAAACCGCTTTTACAAAACTAGACCTAGCCAGGGGGGAGAATCAGAAAATAGACGCGAGAGAAGCTCTAAGATTCCAACTCCCTCTGCCTCTTGACAATGTAATAAGTAACCAAACTCTTCGTTCCATCCCCCACCTCTTCTAGTGCCCTCCAAAATCGTGCATCGCCCACTCTCGCATGAATACCCACACAAAGTAACACGGCATCTAGTCTCACGCCACTCTCGGTACTCTCAATACAACGGGCAGCCAAGCGACCAATCTCGTTGACCGCATTCTCACTCGGCATGAATTTTTCCTTAACCTCGAGCAACTCCTTGAGGATACATAGACCAAGGGAGAGAACACGACAGGATTCAGTTGTCATGCTCTCACTCTCGTTGAGGAGACGGGTGGTGATTGCTGTGAGTGTGTCTTTGGGTGGAGCGAGGGTGATGAGATCGTTGGCAAGTAGTTCGAGGCCGGAGACAATGTGAATGCGAGAATCATAAGCGGAGCGGGCAGTGAGGATGGAATCGAGACCTTTAGCAATATGAGGTTCGAAGTTGGCACGTTCTTTCTTGTACATGACTCGGATGGTTGCGAGAATTTGCGCCTTGACGTCAAGAACCTTTTCTGGAGCTAAGTTTTCGAGACTTGATTCAAGATATTCAAATAAGCCAAGAAGTAAAACATCAAATTTATCTTCTGACCACGCGGCTTTATTATCTCGGATCATGCCTTGAAGCTTTCGGAAACCGTGAACATCAAGAGACTTGGACTTGATTTTGTTAATACCGCTCTCAAGTAGTCGGGAGTTTTGCTTGAATCGTTCTGGTGACATATCAGGTGCTTTGACAGGTTCAATAGCAGTTACTGGGCTCTTCATCAAATTCGCAGCATCTTCATTGATCGCTACTTCCTCGAGTACGGGTGCGGTCATCAAAGGTCTAGGTGTTGTTTGATCGCCTTCACTAGAAAATGGATCCTCGTAAACTTTCAAGCCTTTCGAAGGGGTTGATAATTGCTCTTCATCGGACGAGTCCGTTGGTGAGGGCTTGGGGTGAGTTTCTCTCAAACCAGACAACTTTGGTACAACCAGGGTAATATTCTCATCATTTCCTACTGGACTCGATCCCATTGTCTTGGTGGTCAGGAGTCTTAGTTTGGGACTTGCTTTTGGTGGGCTAGATCTGGGTAATATCGGTGACGAAGCAGCTTTACCAACCCCAGACTTTGTTGAATTAGTACTCTTGGTACTTCTTGGAGGGCTGACATGATGAGAGTTTGTGGTGTGACTAGAATGACTGGTGTTGGGCCTAGGAGGCATACGCTTTGGGGTGGTCTCCTTCGGGGCTGCAGCACTTGGTGTCCTTCCTTTTACTGTTTTGACGTTGGTTGGACTTGAAGTGGCGTCGGTGCTATTTGTATGACCATGACGTCTAACAGAATAGGGGCCAGCAGTAGCTGGTCTAGCAGCCATCTCTGGACGAGGACCAGGACGTTTGGAAGGTCTCATTGGAGCAACTGATAATCCGCTGTGAGGTACAGTAGCAGTTGATTCGGGTCTATCCGGTCTTCCTCGAACAGGTGCATCGGAGACGTGAGATTTTGGATTCGATACATGACGAACCGGTGACAGATTTGCCATTGCGGATGTTGGTCTCGCTGGTTGCTTGTTTGCCAGGGCTGCCTTTCTTTGAGCAAGGATCGTATCTCTGACTGAAGGCTTGGGTGGACCGTTGGTGCTCTTGGAAAATCCAAGTCCAGGTCTCGCAGCTACTTCTGGCTTTTTGGGAGAGTTTGGATTATCTGGTGCATTTTCTAACAGTCTTTGCTGGGTTGGCTCGAGAGTAGCCATGATACTATTTCGTGTGTTAGCCATGAATGGATAACGTGGTGTCTCTATTTCTTACGCTTCAGCTCTGGCTGGCCAGATCTGCGCAAATGCCCAATATGTTGATCTCATATTTTCTCGGACCGCAGCATTCGCATCTGCCAGCCCCTTCTTAAGACACTTCTCAATCAAATCTAAACTGCCACCATGCTCGAGTTGACTTCTGTGATGAGCCTCCTTTTTGAGTAAAGTCTTCAACCAACCAGTAGCGTACGTTCGAGGCTGCACATTCTTATCTTGACACGCAAGCCAGATATGTTGCATAATGCGCGCATTAAAAGTGACCTTGCCGATGATAATATCGACTGTAATATTACCATTTTGCGAACTGATCTTCTTCGTTCCACCACACAACTTGATCAGATTCTGGAGAAGAATTTCCACCATAGAATCCATTCCGCTGCCATTCGTTCTTGTGACTTCTTGAATCAGACTACATCCTTCTTTTGAAAGACTCGTTCGTAGAGAGTTTACTGCCTTGAGGATACCGTCTAGGAGACTTTTGATACCTACAAGGAAAACATCACGGTAGTCTTGTGGGGCATTCCCGGCATTTAGTCGTCGAATCTTGGTGCAGGACTTTTCTCTGGCCAACCAATTTTGCTCCGATTCCTTGCCCTCGAAACATGGATGCATATCCTTCAAAGTTTCGTCTAATTCTCTGGCGGTATTTACATAAGCTGGATCCACATGTTCAATTTTTGCGTCTAATACTGGCGTTGCAGGTCTGGCAGTAGAGGCCTTGAGGAGATGTGGTCTTGCTGGAGCTTCAGCGGGTTCCTCGACTTCAGCTGAGATGCCCTGTTCTATCGCGGTGGTAATTGTAGAAACGATAGCTGGACGAACGTTGAAATTCTTCAATTGCTTCTTGAGGTCTGATTTGGCACCATTTGGCGCATTTCTGGTATGATGTCAGTACATGGATATAATTGTAGGATTTGGCAAACCGACTGAAAAAGTGTAATGACGGTAACTCTGGCAGCATCTCTGACCATACCATCCGCATCCTCAAGCAGGTCCATTAACGTAGTGACAAAGGACTTGAAGGCCATGCCATTTGTTTGATGCATCTAAAGGGGTCAGCGACCAAGGTCCGCGTGTTCTCAAGCGACTATGATTCATACCTCCATGACCCAAGCCATTGAAGCTTCTTTCATTCTTGGATTCTTTCCCACTAGACCAGCGTTCTTCACTATGCGCTCCACTTCCAATGGCGCGACCTTCCAGAAAGTAGTGAGGCATGTCGCAGCAAGGGATCGGTACTTTTCCTTGGGATCGCCGAGTTTGTCAATGACCAGAGGCAACGTCCGACCAGCTTCCTTGAACACATATTTTGGTTCCTGTCTTGACAGTCGCTCCAGCAGGTTACTTAGGGTCGAGAATCCAGCTTGGACGATTTGCGCATGCTGAGATGCCATGGCCGTCCGAACTGCCTCAAAGAGGGGCACGATGCAGACCTCTGGTACATTGTTGCGCTTGATGACGGATTTGGCACTGGTGATGTGAGCGACCTTGGTATCAATGATCGCATCGCTTCGCAGGATGGCTTGAAGAGCTGCGACCTGCTCTTCGGTGATCTTTTCGCTCTTTTCGGCCATTGTCGTTGTTGTCGTCGACAGCTAGCTGGGGAGCACTCCTATCGGATGCCTCTGGCTACGTTAGCTTATTAATTTTCGCAGCGTCCGATGGTTCTGTTTCTGGTCGGTGAGGGTGTGAGTGCGCATACAAGACTCAAGGTCGGTCACAAGTAGAGGTGATGGGAGTCGGATGGACGACTTACTCTCGTTCGCGGGGTGCAGCACAGCGCAGCAATTGTTTGTTTGATTTCTTGCCTGTCGCGAATGTTATTATTTAGGAGACCAAGAGGTGCACCACCCACATCAAGCCCTGTCTGTGCCTTGCTCTGCGCCTGTGGTTGCCGCATCTACAACCAATTCTTACCAATCATATGGGTCTGTAGGGTCTACCCTGGTCGTTTATGACGGGGCTTTGCTAGTTCTCTTCCCGTCCCTCTCACCACTCGTCCGATTCTAGTCCCGAAGTACATCCGATAGTAGCCGCTTCTGCGCTCACTTTAGCACTTCAACTTCAGAGAGAGTTCGGACGCTACACTACCAAGAGTAACTCTACTTGTACAACTCAACACTTCCAAACTTGATCTGGCTCTTGTATAAGGTACTTTATATTAAACTTCGTTTCTTATACCTTATAAGTACACCGTTATTATACAGTACAGTACTGGGTAGTAGGTAGGCAATCCTAGGCGACAGTACTAAGACCAAACCTTATTAGGACGTTCTGCCTACTCAAGTACTGGTAGTGTGTAAGTTACAGATTAAGCGATATACAACCTTGTATCTCTTCACTTCGTCTGCTCTTCTTTCTCTTTCTATCTTCTCCTTTTAATACTTATAAATCATTGCTCCGCAGCTTCCTCTCATCCAAATCCAACATGGGAGAATTCCAACCCCCCTCGAGTCCACTCCCTACACCAGTCTTCACACCCCCCCAATCATCTCGTCACGTCCCACCACCATCCGAAACCCCCGCCCCTCCACCCACCGAAGCAACAACCCCCTCACCAACCCCCTCATCACCCACGCAATCCATCTCCTCCACCACCTTCCCCCTCCCAAAACTCCGTCTCGAAATCCGAGATCTAAACCACAAAGGCGCCCCCATCTTCCTCACCGCCGTACCAGCAAGCAACGCCCTCCAAAAATCCATCCAAGATGTCCTCAAACTCCTCTACGTCTCCCCCACCACAAAAACCAGCACCGTCCCTCCCACACGCTCCGTAACTCTCATCCTCCGCTCTATGCCCGGAGTAGCCTACACAACCGGCACCGAGCTCGACGCAGAGCACAAAGAGATCCACTTCTCCCTCGACTACATCCAGAATTCCATCACCGCCCCACGGCGAGAACACGAGATAATGGGTGTCCTGACGCACGAGATGGTGCATTGCTACCAATACGACGCATTTGGCACTTGCCCAGGGGGACTGATCGAGGGAGTGGCGGATTGGGTACGCCTACATGCTGGATTATCGCCGCCGCATTGGAAGAAAGAGGCGAGTGGGAAGTGGGACGCGGGGTATCAGCATACGGGGTATTTTTTGGAGTACCTGGAGCAGAGGTTTGGGAGGGGGCTGGTAAGGAGGTTGAATGAGAAGTTGAGGATTGAGAAGTATCAGGAAAAGAGGTTTTGGACGGAGCTTTGTGGACGGCCGGTTGAGTTGTTGTGGGCGGATTATGGGAAGAGTTTTAAGAAGGAGAAGGGTAGAAATGAGGAGGAGGGGAAGGAAGGGGAGGGGAGAAATGAGGATGAGGAGTGCGTTATGGTGGAGAAGGAGGATACGACTATACCTACTAAGAAAGGATTTCATGCGGAACCGAAATCGACGTCTACGAATCCACGAGTAACCTAAACGATCCGAAGATAAAGATAAGAATACATTCAAATCCCCATAGTGGAACAGTATCTCCTCCACTCCACTCTACTTACCTACCTAGTAACTAACTCCACGCCCACGAATCCATAAGTAACCTAAACGATACGAACATAAAAATAAGAACACATTCAAACAACCTACAACAGAACAGCACCTACCTATCTACTCAACTCAACTTACCTAGTACTTAACTCCACTTTACTTACTTAGTAAATATAACCACCCTATAAATCAACTATCTCTATTCCTAATACACACCCTTAACTTAAACTACGTAACTCCTTTCTTTCTTATTAAAAAAGAAAAAAGAAAAGAAAAGAAAAGAAAATCCCCTTTCCCTTCTTCTTTCTCCTCTTTCTACTTAATCTAATCTACCTTACCTTACCTCCGCGTAAATCTAATCTCTACTCGAGTAATCCTAGTTCGTAATCCTAATTCGTGTCCTACCCTACCCTATCCTACCTAAAAAAGAGGTACTTAACTCTCCTCCTATCGGATTTCACTTACCCTTCAACTCTACTCCACTCCACTCCACTCAAACAAACAACATCCCACCTCACAAATAAATAAACATCCCCCTTCCCCTTCCCCTCTACAATACCTATACTGCCTACCAACCCTTCCATAGCATAGCATAGCATAGCATAACAAAGTATCGAAACATCCACATTACCTTCCATTCCTATCCCCTCCCTTAATTCAGCCCACCTAGGTACTATAATACCTCCTACCTCCTACCTACTCCTATATCAAATCCCCAATTTATCAGAGGCAAGGGCACTAGTATAATCCCTTCCGTAATAAACACACTAGCTACACTTATACCAATTATTATAATTCGAATAATCCCAATAACTTTCCCAACACAGGAACATCTAGAATCTACTATAGACCATTAGCGTCTCTTCTTTTACACCCCCTGTAGCCTAGGGCACCCCCCTAGCGTCATTTGCCCATATTGGGACTCTTCTAGGACCTAGCCCACGCGAGCTAGATTCCGCTTGACGTTAAATAGCAATAAATAAATAAATAGACCAGTATGAGCCCACGGTGGGTATGTATTGTGGTACAAAGATCATCCCATCCCATCCCATCCCATCCCATCCTATACATCACAGCACATCACAATATATTACAAAAATAAGCTTAAAGCCCAAAAGGACATTTGTAAGATAATTTCATATAATTTACCAACGAACCATTGGCTACCTCGTATTACCTCACTTTATAGGCTTACCTCTGGGCACATTCGGGGAAGTACCCTCGTGCTCAGAGCATGTCACTGCAGATGCACACCCGGGAAGTTTCCCAGTGGTCGACATCTCTACAGGAAAGCCACACTGCTGACAGATATCACCGAATAACCGCAAAAGGCCGTGGGAACCGCGACAACCATGAAAATAACACAAGGCGAAGCAGGATTCTTTGTCTATCCAACCCTCCTTCCGAGCTCCTTTTCTTGGAATGATGATTCTCCCACCAACTGCAATTTTATGTAAGGAAAAACACGTGATTCGTGCTACTACCAGCCTTGTGGATTCCGAGACATTACTAAACTGTTGTCAAATCAAGATTTCTTCGACGGGTCCAGCCGACGGAGAATTTTCATTTTTTCTCAGACGAATGGGACCTACCAAGTATCCCGAACTAATCCCATGTGAAAGTCCATTGCCAGCCACCAGAGGAAAAAGAACTGGGTCGTGCCGTGCCTCAAGTGTACCTAAGTTTTATCGCCTGTATGTAGACTCCCTTGATTGTGATAGAACCCATGTAGGTGAGATGTTGGATTCAAAAGACCGGGGGTCTCATGGCGTACGGACGGGATGGGACCATGCAGTTGAAAGTTTTCTGGGAACGATGTGCTGCAAGGGACGTGGGCGTAAACAAGGAACATACACCACGGCTTTGGGTATCCCGAAAGGGACGTTTGGCGCATCACCACCCATGAAAAATATGCCTCGGAATGCAGTGTATTTAGAAATCGTGCATGGCGTGCCATGTTGGATCGCGACTTGTTTCGATCATCACTTCCGAATTGGAGGTCCTGCTGGGCGAACCGTGGCTCCGCTCGTTGCGAAGCGCAAAATGTCCTCTTCGGTTCGTACGGTGCCCGTCGGGTTCGTCGCAACCTGTCCCATGCCGAATTCGACTGGCCCATCTGTAGTGACATTTACAGATGTGACACTCAACTGCACTTGTACATGCTCCATTTTCTCGTCATCCTCATCGTCACTTTCTTCGTCCTCGTCATCATCGTCGTCATCCGAGGGACGTCTAGGATCTAATTTCCTCCTCAGCCCTGTGTTGACGGTATCCAAACCCCTCGCTCTCTCATCCGCGGTAAAGTTGTCCTCCATCTCTGTTTGAATGTACTCCCCGATTCTCTCCAGTAACCATGTGCGAGACCGTTCACACACCCCCTCGTCATGATACTTATTGGCTCCCATTGAAAGACCTTCCTCGACCAGTTTCTCCACGGGCGGCTCCAACTTCTTCCGTAAGAGCTGACCGAGAATATCCTCTTGTGTGCGTCCAGGATAGTTGGTGGAGGGATAGACCACGACCTTGTTGAAAATTTCGGCGTGGTTGGATAGGTTGGTAATGAGATCATGCGTTGCTTGCACCAACATTTGGGTGGAAGTATGAATCGAGGGCCTATTGATCAGGACGTACAGTTAGCAGCGGGCAACGAAAATGTGATGGTATCGTGCATCGGCAGAAGCAGCCTGATTTGTGTCGATCATAGGGTCGGGTCATAAGGCTGTTGACATACCATGGCGGGAGGGGATGTGTACTCCTAATGCCTCTATTCAGAGTCTGAATGCTTCGAGTGAGATTGTAGAGCTGGGTCCGGACCGAGTCCAGGGCTTTGAGATCTTCGCTGCTCAAAGCGGTTGTGTCCATGTTGTTCTTCTCCAGGGAGCTGGATCCAACTGGCGTTGGATGTGGGCAGAATGAGGTTCGCTCGTCTCGAATGGGCGGGAATGATGTCCGAAGGCTGAGCGAACGACACGAGTCGAGTAGGGGACGCGGCGGAAAGACGTGGGATGGCGATGGCGATGTGGATAGACGGATCGATGCGAGATGTGGTACGATGCGAGATGTACGTGGAGGGGAGATGTGTGATGGTGGTGTCTTCCAGTCGAGAGCTGCGGAAGACTGGATGGATGTGGGATGAGGGATGAGGGGGTCCAATGGCCTGACCTGAACACCTTTGCCGGGGATGAAGCCGAGGGGGTGAAGCCGAGGGTAGGGGGTAGGNGGTAGGGGGTTAGGGGCAGGGATTGGTTTAATAGTGAAGGCTCTTAAGTGTGACGAAGGACGCTCAGCTGAGAAATAGCCGAGGGGAGAAGGGTGTGAATTGTTGGTGTTGGTGTTGGTGTTGGCAGAGGAGATGTTGGTGGTGATGGTAGACGTGTGGTTGAGGAGGGTCTGGGTGAATCTTTTGATAGTCTGATAGTTGAAGCTCTCGGCTCCACTGACGTTGTTGTGCCCTCCACTGTTGGCTGCAAGGGCAATCTCTTCAACATTGGCGGGGAAGAGCACGCCAACTTCCGCGCCTTGTGGTCTACAGGAATCTGCAGTACTGGTCCTAGGAAGGCTAGGGGCAGCTGATGAAGCCTGTACCTAGTACCTACAGTGGCACTGTACGTGGTAAACGTTCGCACAGAATGCAAGTCCAGGTGCAGCGGATCTGGCTTTGTACCGATTCCCGGTTGTACGAGTACTCGAGTTCTCCATACACCTTGAATTCAAGTATTGCCTGTTCCGAAAGCACCTGCCACTGCCACTGCCAGCGATATCTCAGCCCAAGTCCTACGATGCACTGCCTCCACCGACGCTACACTGCTCTACCTGGTATACCACTGTCCCTTACTACTGCCCTACTACTGTGCTGCGTAGCTGTAGCTGTAGCTGTAGCTCGACTGCCTAGAACAGGCTCACACGTGGACTTCTGATCAGTCTTCGCCGGGCTAGAGTAATGTCAAGCCTCAGGAATCGGGCATCATCCAACGGAGAAACTCTCACCTGCCTATCGTCTATCGTCTATCGTCTATCGGGTACGACTCCGTATGTTTCTCAACCACAACACCATCACTACCTCCATTCACAACCATTTCCCCTCGATACCGGATACCCCTTCTATCGCTGCTTAAGTCCGTCACCCTTGAATCCCCATCCCATCCCATCCCATCCCCATCTCCATGGAAATGTCCTGCCGGCAACACCAACCCATCCACCCAGCCGACCAGACCAAACAATGGCTTCGGAGCTCTCCCCACACTCTGCATTCTTCACCGCGCAGCCGTCCATCGCCCCTCAACCTTAATGCGCATCCCAGTCTGATAGCCCGAATCCGTTCTGCCCTGCCCTGAGACGACTGCAGTGTCTGGAGCTGGAGACGCCTGCAGCCAGCCCATTGGCCATGCCGGACAAATGCACCATGTCGATGCTACTCTGTACCAAAGGCTACAATGTTACCCCATCCCATCCCGTATACCTCGCATAACTGACGCCAGTACCGCTACCGCCACGCACGCATGCTATATTGATATATCGGGAGATGCAGACAGCATCTGGGTGTCAGATTCGATCGCCCCAGCCTTATTCGGACATCACTGACCAAGAGCTGACGCAGGCTTGGAACCTGCGTGCATTGGCAAACGGGGGCACAGCAGTAGATGGAACTTCATGGGACCAGCAGCGGAGGGAGATGTCGACCACGGGACCTCTTCTGCGCCGACAACGACGCCAATTCGAGGGGAAACCATGTCCTCCATACACCCAACCAGCCCTCGGACAGGAGATGCCGCTCAATGTACAGGTACAGATACCACCCATACATAAACGAGTCGCGGAGGAAATATTATTACATGGCATCGCGGACCAAGCGTGGCTGCAAGGTTCTTCACATGGCAAGGGGAGGGTGTGTGGGTGTGGTCAGACGCGATATTTCGCCAAAAACAGACGCAACAAGTACATGGCGTCTCTTTCAAGCACCCACTACTCGAGCACTGCTACCTCTCCATGAGTCCTTCGTCATCAGAGTTTCATCCTCAATCGGATTGTAAGAGAAAACACGCCATTCTTTCGTACTCCGGGAGTGCTCCCAAGGTCATTTCCGCTATATACCCCATATCCATCTTGGCCTTGTCAGCATTTTTGATATCAATATCACGGAGCAACATACACTGTTCGCTGGTTGGTATCAGCTTCCCGTCAAACCGCCCAGGATCACCCAAAGAGTCTTGGAGCATGAATAATTCCAGAAGCGGTGAACTTGGCTTTCGACGCCCTCGCAACTCTCCTCCTAATCCGGGTAAGCGACTACTGGCTGGAACCCCAGATGAGTCTTTGAAGATAGGTGATTTGGAAGGGCTGAAATACGGTAATGCAGCTTGAATGTTGACTGGTCATATTTGACTTTAAGGTGGCGATCCTCAACAGTTACCCCCAGATACGAAGTACAATGGTTGGCTCCAGCCGCTCAACCCGCCAGTAGTACGAAGTATTTGCGAATTCCATTTAAGGCATGGGGATGATCCTCCGGGGTGAAAGTTCTCTTCAGCCATTGACCCCGCTATTATGTTTCTCTGACTGTCGTGACAGATTCAGGGTATTCGAGTAATAACGAAAGGTCTACATTTGCAAGCAGCCTCCTTCGGCCTTTCCCTCGGATCGGCACGTCTCCAGGAATTGCAGATCTTTCTCAACCTGAACTTCCTTTTTCCTACTCAAGCAAGATTACTAAGACGAGTAAGACCCTGGATTGTAAAATTGTTATCAGCACTCTTGCGGTCATCGATTTTCGTGATACTTGACTACTGTTGGGCGGTCCGGAACAGGTGCCGGTCACCACAGCAGATTGCAAACATACCTCTTCAAGGAGTACAAAGACGGATGTCAAGGTCATCACGTGCAGTATAAATCATCCTTTCGACCCCAATCCCGTCCGATTCTGTACCAGTATCGATCTTGCTACCCATTCGGAAGGAATATGTGGACCTCCTATATATAGGTATGTTGGGGTTCTGGCTCAACCTCGCCACGTGGCGTAGTTGCAGCCCTAAATGTGTTTATCGGTGATTTCTTCATTACTTGTATGCAGTCATATTACTCCTTTTAAACCTTGACACCCCGGCCTTGGAACGTACTCCATTTTTCTCCCCTTCTTGGCCTTTGCTCCCCAGATATAAAGTCTCGTTTGACCCTCTTGGCAAACGAAAACTGATTGCACTTTCATCACACTCACATTCAACCAACTGTCTTTGTTATAAAAGACTGTGAATCTTGACCACAGCATTGCAAGCACATAATGTCCTGGCCCCCATATCGAATCATACCGCCGTATTCCCCTCAACAACAATCACGATCCAATCTTACTTCCAACCTACATAATGTTGCTCTCTTCGCCCAGATCTCGCGGGTTACGCACCACGCACTCCTTCAACAATCAAATGGGCTATATGGATATCCCAAGACAGTCCTCAACGAATGATATGCACGCCATGAACCCTGAACTCCAAAACATTACCCCAAATACCCTATACCTCACTTTCAATGCTCCCAAGGTAGATGAATATGTACGGCTTTCCCAAATGTCTCATGTCCCCAACTGACACTCCACCAGCACCGAGGACTCTTCCTGACCTACCCACCATCACCCTCCACTTCCCGTCACGGCGACACGCACCCCACCACGAGCGGAACCCTTTTCCATGCCACATGGAAAGAGCAGGACTCCGCCTGGGTGCTTGAGAAAAGAACCATTAAAGACATCTCCACGTCTCAATCCCTGGTTCTTCTCTATAAAATTCAAAGCATGGATCCTAACTCTACCGCCAACTTGGTCGACCTTTTCAATGGGATTCAAGGCGTTCTCGAAAGCGTTCCTATGGGAAGAGCAGAGAGAAAGTTGGCTTATGGATACTCACCAAAGGGAAACCCGGTGTTGGGGGGTTACGACTGCGTTATCTGGACTGGTGACGCATTGAGAGCGCTTGGAGCGGAAGGATTGATTGATCTGAGGGGGTGCGATGTTGGTTAGTTGGCCTTCCCATCTCTTTCCTTGATTTTCCTGTTCCTCTTTGTTCTGTTTTCGAGTTTGTTTGAGGGGGTTGAGGTTCCTTGTGCTTGTCCACTGCCCTTGTCTGCGTGCCCCTGTGGCTTGTATATACCCCTGAAGAGGTTTGACCAGGGATCTTTTCAAGGGTATCGTACCGCGCTTATGGGCTAGTCACCCACTCCACTATTTCTATTGAAGAAGTGGACATATGGGTCAAGGTGGATAGCTCGGGTTCCTGTCATGCAGATCATATTTGCGAAAACTCTATAACGCCTAGATCCGAGTCTTTGATTCGCTGGTTTCGCCAAACAAGGGGACTGAGATATATTATTAACTGGCAGGGTGCTACTCCGAGCTATCCATCTCTCCTTTTACCCTTTATGTACCTTTCCCCGCGAGCCCCGTACCCTGTAGTTGGGATGGGCGTTAGCCGGTGGGTTTGTCATGATTTTGGGGTTGCCGGGAGGTGGGTCGAGACTCGAGGGAAGAGGCGGGTTCTGTTTTCCGGTTCAGGGTTTCTAGTCTGTGCTGCGTTCGTCTGTTTTGTTTGTTTTTGATCATGCGCTGACGATATCCATGTGTAGATGGGGTTATGGCAAAAGCTCGTGCTCGTGCTGGACCTGCGGATGCGAGGGAGGCGGTAGGCCGAGATTTTGGGGGTTTGAGGGTTATTGCTTGAAGCGTTTCCATGGGGTTTCGGGCATGAAGTACGGACTTGAAGGTCTATGGAGTTTAGGCGCTTGTTTGGTGGGTACGGGAGGGCGTATTTGCAGCGTATAGAAAGATCGGTGCTCACGTACAGATGGGTGGAGTTGGATATGGATCGGATTGAATATTTTTTTTCTGGCGAAGCGGGTTCTTGGTGTTCTTTTGGTAGGAGGAAAGGGGTGGGGGAGTTTGTGGTCTGGACTCTGGAGTTTCTTTGGGTGATCGACCAACTTAGTCCACTTGCCTGTATGGTTTGGATGCGTTGAGGGAATTGGAATGGAGTTTTGGGGGGTAGTTTTTTTTTTGTGGGGAAGGGGAGGGATCATTGATCAACCATCGATCTCTTGAGGAGTTTTTTGGTCTAGGTTCCTTTGGATTGGAGTAGTCTGGATTTAGACGAAGGCTCGGTTTTGTGAGGGTTTTCTTGGGGATTTTCTTGGGGATATCCTTCTTCTTTTCGATTAGAAATTAGAAATTAGAAAATTCTTACTCTCTGGTTCTTCTCTTTTTGTGCCTTTTGTCTCTTGTCGTGTTCGATTCTTTTCCCGTGGTCTATTAGACCTTCCTAACCGTTCTAGAATCCTCTGAAGAAGCGGGTTGCGTTGTTGTGGGGCTTCTTTTTTTCTTTTTCACTTCCTTTTTTTGTTCTTATGTTATTAACTTATTATTACTTGGGTTATGGGCTATAGATTGGATTGGATAGGATTGGATAGGCAATCGTTTACTCGTTCTTATTAAGTTGGATGAGATGAGATGAGATGGGATAAGATGGAGATTAATTAGATGGCATTGTGATCGACATGGATCTATATCTTTTTTTCTTTTCTTTTCACCTCCTTTTCTCCTTTTTTGAATTTTTTGAATTTTTTTGAATTTTTTTTTTCCTGGTCTTCTGATCTGCTACTGATTCGCTGAAGTCCTGGGACTGGGAATGTAGATTGCTTGCTTGGTTGGTTAGTTGGTTAGTTACTTGCTTTTGACGGAGAGGGGATGGAGACGTTACACAATCGATGGGCTTTTGACGGAGCGGAGCGGACCGTTTGTGTATATTTTTACTTTTTTCCTTTTTCACTTTTTACTTTTCATCTTCTACTTCTCTAAAGGATGACTAGGAGGCGGGAAGGAGGGGCAAAGAACGGTGAAGAATTAGAAAAAGGAAAACGCCTTTTAGAGGTGGGTTGTGGTTGTTGTGGTGGTTGTAGTGGTGAGCTTGTTGGATTGGGCCCTGGCTGGGTACGTGGTCTGATATTATGGTTCTTGAGGTTGTGTGGGCTTTGTGGGTTTTGTGGCTTTGGTGGCGGGATGGTGGATGGTGGATGGTGGTTGTGGGTGAGATGGGGAGGTTTTTTTGCTTTTCCTTATCGAGTGGGTGGGGGGAGAGGGTAAAAGAGGGGGAGGGTTGGGAGG